GAAGGTTAGGGTTTGGAATCACAGTTCCAGACTTGGGTTCTGTCTGCCACCTCCTCTACCCCCTCGTGCTGTTTTGGATGATGTAGATAGATTGGTTTAAGCAGGCAAGGGGAACTACCCCTTCTGGACACTCAGATTGGAACGTATGACATTCAGAACCAGCTTCTACTGAGAGGTTGAGCTGCAGAGAGTGGTGGGAACGTCTAGCTAGAATTTTCAAAGCTCATTTATTTTTACACTTGTGGAACAAAGATAAAAAGATTTATATGTTCTACCTTTTGAAGAGCTGATTTTCTTTTCATCTTTTGTGGTTTCTGTGCCAAGTATCGTTTGTTCATATAATAGGGTCTCGCGTGCGGGCTTTCTTAATGATCCTTTAATGAGGTTATAGTGCATTGTTGCTTCAACCACTCAAATGGCTTCAATGATTTTCCAATGTAAAATGTAGTGACTGTGTTTTTATTTTGGAAACCGACCGCAATAGCTGGTTTTGCGTGAACCATGAAGTGAATGACCAATTTTATCGGGTGGAGGTGTGGTGGTGGGGGAATTATTGGCCAGGACACCTGGAGAAACTCCCTTCTCTTTTTAATTAACGATGATAATTGATGATCCGTATATTTGCTGTAGCAGCTATCACATAGAGAGGGCACATCACGGGAATGAACTGTTTTGTGCGCTGACTATATAGATAAGATGGCCCTTTCGATGATAATTATAATATTCCTTGTATTTGATACAGCGCCTTATCGCGTCTTCGAGACATCTCAAAGCGCTTCACTGGATATACTGTAGAGTGAATCGACTGTACGTTTGGTGGATGAGATTGAATTTGTGATTAGCCCACTATAAATGAACTTTTTTTGCTTATCCTGTATAACGTGACCTGCCTTTCCAAACCCAAGCACAGTAGGTTCATGGTGACTGCTCTGAAGTTCTCTTTGGAACGAAGCGAGGCAGGATTGGAGCAGAGGCAGTGAAATGCTCATTGGTGTAGCAGCAGATGGCGCTGTACTGAAGCTGTGCAACCAGTTGGACAAAGCCCTTGTCTTGTTGTCTTGGACAACTGGAGTGAAAGCTTCTCCGCTTTACATTGCCTTGCCCTTAGCCATGGCACTGTGGGAATGGAGCTGTGGGAATGTTTCCCCCTTGACCCGTACAAAATGCTTACATCCAGATCCGAAGTCCCAAACTACCTGTTTGGGTGGATGTTAAAGATCGCACGGAACTACTCTAAAGAGAGAGGAGTTTCTCCCGACGTTCCGGCCGACAGTAAAATTGGTCACTCACTCGATAGCTGTTCGTGCGGCATCACTGGGCGCAAATTTGCTGCTGCGTTCGCCCACAAAGTACACGATCACTACGCTTCATGGTAAAATCCTGTGAAGAATTTTGAGATGTCTCGATGACGTGATAAGACGCTATGTCAAATGCAAGGATTCTGCATTCTCTCTTTCTCTCTCTCTCCCTCTCTAATTTGCTGTCGTTAACTAAACTGTATACCAGACAGCAGCAATATAAAATGAAGAGCCAGGCAAAAAATAACACTACGCACATGTTATCAACAATCTGCTAATACAACCCATGTCAGAAGGAAGCTCGTCAGTATGATTAAGATTAAATAAAAGTGAGAGATTTCACATCCTCATAATAATAATAATAATAACCCTTGCATTTGCTATAGCGCTTTTCACGTCGGGAGGACGTCCCAAAGCGCTTCACAGAACACACTGTAAAGTGAATTGACTATATATTTATGGGCGAACGCGGCAGCCAATTGCGCACAGCAATGTCCCACAAACAGTCGTGGATTGAAAATGACCAATTTATTATTGTTTTTGGTTTTGGAGGGATTATTATTAGGCTCTGTGTGGAGTAAGGAAACTTGCCCAAGGTTTCGCCCTCTGCCTGGAATTGAACTCAGGTCTCTCGCTTGCAAAGCGAGTGCTCTAACCACTGAGCTACAGGACTCCACAAACAATGTCTCCACAATCGTGTCACCAGAAACAATGTTATATCTGTTAAGAAATTGGCCCCTTCAGGTCCCATTTGTCCGTTATGTTAATCTGAACAGATCAGCCTTATAGAGTATTGATGAGCTTCATCAGCAATTTGGGGTTGAATGTGAAAACTGAATAAATGCATTCAACTATTTCTGCTCTGGGCGAAAAGCTAGCCAAATTTTTTTTGTGTATTTTCTCAGTGACTGATGCAAAAGGTCCCCAAATTCCAAATCATATTATCTTCAAGATGTTAATGCAGCTCTGAATAGCGAAGAGTTCTTAAAATTTTGCCTTACATTGGACAAAGGTTCCTGTAACGAACTGTCATGTTTTACGACGGTGGAGGGGTTATGACCTGAATGTTGACCCTGAGAACTGAATGCTGTAGAGGAGTGGGGGCAGGTCAAATTCTGATGGAAATGGGGCTTGCAAATAAAATGGATTTTGTTTCCTAACTCTAAATGAGACCGGGAGGAATTTCGGGCTTGAGATGATTCAGTGGGACAAAGGAAAGCAGCTGTAGCAACGTGAGGAGGGAATGTTTGCACAGAGAGGATCATAGAATTATACAGCACAGAAGGAGGCCATTCGGCCCATCGTGTCTGTGCTGGCTCTTTGAAAAGAGCCAACCAAATCAATCCCGCTCCCCTGCTCTCTCCCCATAGCCCTGCAAGTTTAAAAGTTCTTATCGAACCACCCTTTCAGGCAATGCATTCCAGATCCGAACGACTCACTGTGTGAAAATATTTCTGCCCACCTCCCCTCTGTTTCTTCGAACAACTATTTAAATCGGTATCCTCCGATTACCGACTCACCCGCCAGTGGAAATAATTTGGAGAGCATTGGGTGACGAGATGAACACTGAATGAAGGCAGGGGCCAGTGTGGTTTTATTCTTATCAGTCATCATCATAGCCACACCTGGGAAAGAAAACCTTCTCATTAGCAACGTATGCAGTTCTGTGGCCAATGTGCCATACAGACTTAGGGTTTTGTGAGACTTCTAGTCACAGAAAAAAAATGTCAGGGATTATGTAAGGGAGAGGGAGGAATAAAACATAACGGTTCCAAAAAAAAATTGCCGCAGATTTTTTTTTCTCTCTTGCATTGTACAGAATTCGTCCCTCTTTTTAAAGCTCCTATTAATCATACCGAATCCTGGTGTTTAATAAATGACTGTAAATCGAAAATCGTGACTCGTATTCTCAAAGTAATCTGCCAGCACCACACAAATTGCCTCACTTGGGGGTTTTAGTGAAACGTTTCACCTCGAGTTATTTGCATTTTACTCTGCATAGAAACTGCAATTTGACGCTCTTATTTCAGTCAATGCCCTGCTTTCCCCCCCCCCTGTTACAATGCAGTCTTTTGGGTCCATCAGAGCACTCCCTCTCCTCCCGAGTCAGAAATTTGTGGGATTCATGTCCCACATTGGTACTTGGAACTCACATAATCTGCACTGATGCTCCAGAGCAGCGCTGGGGAGAAGGGTGCAGTCCTCGGTTGAGACGTCTGCAAGTTCAGGTGGACGTTAAAGATCCTACAGAATTGTCCCACAAACATTGTCCCACAAACGTGGCCGCTTGTGGTTACGGTGCTGCGTGCAAGTTGGCTGTCGTGATCGCCGCCAGTCAAGAAAACGTCACAGTGAAACACTTTGTGAAGTCCTTGGCGCACGAAAGGCCCTGTACCAAATGTAAAGAAAGAAGATGAAGATGCTGACGATTATTATTATTATTAATAGAATATTCAAATTTTACTTTGCAGTAGTTTCGTTTCCAATTTCTTCACAGCGATTTGAAATGTTGAAGGGTGGAAAATGCAATGTAACTGTACTTTTTTTCTCTCTTTTTTTTTGCAACTTGTTGTTTTGTTGCGGGAAGGTGAGAAGCTGAAATAACTGTCCTGTGAGAGAGTTCAGCTTTGACTGTACCGAATCTCTGTTGCACAAAAGCGATTGGTATCTTACGCCATCATCGTCGACTGCAACTGAACACGGCGATGTGTGCCTGAATTTTTTAGCGGTCAATCGAGCCTTTGTACTTTGGCAATAAGTGAGCGGCTTTTGCTCGGAGAATCGAAGGCACACCGTTTAGTGAGCTGAGTGTGGGGGTGGGAGTGGGTGGGGAGCTGAGCTGTCCGTTCTCACTCACTCCCTCTCCCCCCCCCCCCCCCCATCCTCTTTCTCTCACCATACACACTCCCCCCCCCCCCACACACCCCCCAACCCACCCTCACCCCTCCCCACCACCCCCAAACGGGCTGACGTGTGACTCAGGTTAGATGTGTGATCAGTGAAACCACAGAGACCCATGCAGGCACACTTCAGAGCGGGAGGTGTGAGCTCCGGAGTACGTCTTAGTCATGATGCAACCCACCGCATACCCCTGCGTTGTTTCCTATTTAATATTTAACAATTCTTATTAATATCCTGCTCTAATGTACCAGCTTTAAAAGCAAAAACGCGATTTTAACCCTTTGGACGCTGCAGCTGTCATAAAGCCAGCAGGTTCAAAGACGCACAAAAACTAAATGTTGACCTACTTTTGCCCGGTATGTAGGTAGGCAATTCGATAGATTAAACACCAAAAGCATGGTTGAAAGGGGAGGATCTTTAAATTTGGGAAGGGAGGGGGCGAGGAGGGGAAAAGAGTTACAGAGAATGGGGGCAGAACGGCTGAAAGCTCCACTGATTGTTTTTGTGGAGTGGGGGGTGAAGAGAGTGAAGTGGGCTGGTGTTTGTTTTGGTGGAGGGGGCTGCTGGGTGGTAGGTTTGTAGGAGGTTGCAGTGGTAGGTTGGGGAGGGGGTGCGGATGGAGCCAGACCGTGGAGGGATTTAGACCTGAGGAGAAGGATGTTGGATTCGATCTGCTGGGGAACTGGGAGCCGAGTGAGGATGGAGGTGATCATCCCATGGCTTTTCTGCAAATAGTCTTTAAGTTGATTATTTCCCCGTGACCCATTTACCTATGACTGTGGCATGTTCTTCTGTTAACAGTATGGAAGGAGGTGAACTGTTTAGCAGAATCCAGGACCGAGGGGATCAAGCATTCACAGAAAGAGGTAAATGCCAAGGGGCGCAGCAAGGGAGCTGCGATGCTGATGCATTGGTGCCCCTTAACTACACAGAATAATGCGATGGAGGTGAAACTCTGTAAAGGAAGCTGAGATGCTTGGCCTCGCACTCTGGCTCTCATCGGAAGCACTTTTGCCTCTTAATTCAGAAGTTTGCGGGTTCAGTAACAATCCTCGCACTTGGTAGAACGCCTTCTCACATCGTCGAGACGTCTCTCAGAGCGCTTCACAGCGTATACTGTAAAGTGGAGCGACTGTCTATTTTGCAGGCCAGACCCGGCAGCCAGTTTGCGCGCATCTACAGTGACCGATTTTCAAAAAAATATTATTTGTGTGACCGATCCGAGACCCAGGTCGGAACTTGGGCATTTTTTTTTAACAATCTGCTCTTGAGATGAACTTCAGTTCCTGTCTGAAAGGCGTTGATAAAAAATACGATTCGGTGCTGAACACTCCAAAGATAACTCTGCCCAGAACTTGCCTTGCAAAAAAGCCAGTTCCTGGTGCGCCCAATGTGCTTTTATCAGATGCCCTGACATTGCCTATTTTTCTTGCGCCTTAAAAAGCCTTCCTTTTTGCAATACTTCAAAAAGGAAGTTTTTTTTNCTCGTAAAATTGCAGTAAAGATGGTGTAGGAGAGAGGACACACCCTGTAACGTGCTAGGTTCTGAGATCTGACAAAATACTGCTGAGGATATGAAAGGTTTTTTTTTGCGCGTGTGTGTGAAAGAATGTGAAATTTATGAAAAAGCAAGATGAAAAATGGAACTGGCGGAGGGGTTAGTCATGGAGGGCTGGCGTCAGTCTGGCTCAGTCAGTTGGCTGTGTTGGATACTGATTAATAAATTAGGACCAATTGTCTAGGACCAATGGAAGGAGATCAGGAGGGAGAGCAAGCAAGACGCATCAAGGACTTAGAAGAGTGTTGGGTGTGGCTGTAGGATTGTGTAACTGGAGACCTAAAATAAAAGAGTGTTCTACACATTGATTGTTGAGAACGTGACAAGCCTGTAAGGCAGAAAGTTGTGTAATGTATTGGTTAGAGCAGCAGTCAAGCTTCAGCGAACAAGAACTAACCGCAAACATCAATTATCGAGTTATTTTGACTGCGCAATTGGCTGCTATCTTTCGCCCACAAAATATGCAGTCAACTCACTTTACAATATATTCTGTAAAGCGCTTTGAGACAGCATGGAGATGTCATGAGGTGCTATATCGAATGCAAGGATTATTATTATTTTTGTGAGTTTAAGCCCACGTCAGGGACTTTGAACTCACATCGTCTTCACTTTACAATAAATCCTGTGAAGCGCTTTGAGACCTCCTCCTAACATGAAAGGCTCTGTGTCAATGGCAAGGATTATTACTATTATTAGGATTATTTTTATTGCCTTTGTATTTTTATTAATTTTATTAAGTTGAATTGACCAATAGAGGGGGAAGGGCCAACACTGTGTTAGTGGATGGTGGAGAGGGACAGCAACCTCAGGGTGAAAATCAGTCCAGCCTCTCCCAGTAAAGAGAGAGAAGGCCCATGATTAGAGCAGGGATTTGTGCATCGAGGGAGGAGAGGGGAGGACAGGGGAGCAAGCTGCCAAAAGATTAAATGGAGAATTAATTGACTCCTCTGTCCGTGCTCTTTCTTCAGAGGCTTCTGAAATCATGAAGAACATCGGAGAGGCCGTACAGCACCTCCACTCGGTGAACATTGCCCATCGAGATGTCAAGGTAAAGAGAACGTTCTGTCCTGCTCACAGTCTTCCCGAGAATCCCCACCTACCGGCCTCCCATTTACAAGATCGAGCTGTTTCTTAAACAACAGCAGCTTGCATTTATACAGAGGCCTTCACGGGAGGGCAGCTTCTCAGAGCGCTTAACAGTGGCGGAGCCTGATGCCAAACCAACCGGGGAAAAGGAGGATGTGGCTTCAGTCGTGATCTAAACAAGTCCCAACATCCTAGTCCTACCCAACCAACCCAACCTGGTTCCACTCATTCATTCCCCTTGGCATAAAGAAACACTTCCTGGTACCTCTCCTGAAATTGCCCTTCACAAGCCTGAACCTCAGCCCTCTTGTCCAGCTTTCCTTGACGTATTAAGCGCTCCGAGACGCTGCCCAGCGTGAAGGGCTCTATGTAAATGCAAGTCGTCGTAATTGCACCTGAACGCATTGTGTCCGGGTTAAGTTTCTCAGTCCCGCTTCGAATCTTACACGAGCCAGAGTGTTGAGTTGAAAGGTATTAGCATTTCAATGGGGATGTTTCCAATGGATTGATTTGATTCAAATTGAAAGACTTTATATCTATTATCTATATATATATATATTATATTTCTTCCGCAGCCCGAAAATTTGTTGTACACGACGAAAAGGCCAAACGCTATTTTGAAACTAACCGACTTCGGATTTGCCAAAGAAACCACCAGCTACAACTCGTTAGCAACCCCTTGTTACACACCGTATTACGTGGGTAAGTTTGCTTCCAGCGCGGTAACCTTCTGACCATTTACCATGAAACTGCTGCAAGAAAGTCGTCTAAAAATAAAGCCTACAAGAGTTTCAATTTAGTTAGTCATTCTGGTGCCTCTCTGCGGAGTGAAACCTCTTTTGAAATCACGACGCGGCATATTAAGATTTCCTTGTGCAGCGGTTTCCTATTTCACAGCAGTGAAATGAAAGCGAATGCTTCCTTTATTAATGCCAGGATATTTTTTAAATTTCTTTTTGCTATAAATTCACTTCATGCCGGGTTGGAATTGTAAGTGCATAAGAACTGAGGTTTCTGCTTATAAGTGTTGCTGAGATTTGTGTGTGTATGTGTTTGCGCGTGTGTGTGTGTGAGTGTGCGCACACGCATGTGGACCTTCAAGTTACCTGTTATACAGCCCTAGTAACTGTTGGCAGGTCAGACAGCATCTATGGAGAGAGGACAGTGAGTTAACGTTTCAGGGCGATGACCTTTCGTCAGAACTGACCTGAAATGTTAACTCGCTTTCGTCTCTCCATAGATGCTGCCTGACCTGCTGAACGTTCCCAGCGACTGCTGTCGTTATTTCAGATTTCCAACATCTGTTAGTGACTGTCGCGCCCGTTGGTTTATCTTTCAGCTCCCGAAGTGCTTGGGCCTGAGAAGTACGACAAGTCATGTGACATGTGGTCCTTGGGCGTAATAATGTACATTCTGTAAGTACCGTGTTGTTGCCGGTTCGGTCTGAACAGATCTCCCTTTGTGCACTCGATGCAAGCGATGCAATGAACGAGGGAAATTATTTACAAGTAAAAGGGAATATTCCACGTGCTCTTTGGGCACTTACTGTGTATATGTGTATATATATATATACATATTATATATATCTGTGACCTGGGCAACAGACCACCAGAGGACGTGGTCATTTAAGTCATGGCTGGTAGGGAGAGGGGGGAGAGAGGGAGGCCTGATTAAAGTACAGATAATGCTTCGATGCATTTGCTCACAATCTTCCAGAGTGCCTCCAGCCCCACCCTTCCTCTCGCTTCATCACCAAGCCGTCTCTTAAACGAATCCTCAACCACCCTTCCTAGTTAAACCTGTTGCAGGCGTTACCCACTCACCCCTTCCCCGTGCACTGAAATTAATTGATTGCTAATCCCAGTGTATCTCGATGTTTCCGCTCTGGATGTTGGTGGGAGGTGAGTGTCAGACTCACCGTGTGTTTGTTGTGTGTGCCCCCAGATTGTGTGGGTATCCCCCGTTTTATTCGAACCACGGTCTGGCCATCTCACCTGGAATGAAGAAACGGATCCGAATGGGACAGTATGAGTTCCCCAACCCGGAGTGGGTGGAAGTATCCGAGGAAGGTAAATGTAGCTGAACTAATCTAATAACATTCCTTGCATTTTGGGAGGATGTCTCCACCACAACATCATCAACAACATCAAATTACATTTGATAGGGACTTACATGTGAGGAGGACGTCCCAAGGCGCTGGACAGTCAGGGATTTAGACCCTAGTGGGCAATTAGACAAGGTTTTATTTTGCTAAATCACGACCGTGGCCATCTATGGTTGTCTTTAAAACCTGCAGCAATTTTCTAAAAAAAAATGATAACACATGACCAAGATGTTAAACCACTAGCTATCCTCTTGAGGAAGTTGCACAAACTTGGTTCTCGAATGGCCTTAAAATGTTTGCGAATGACCTTAATGTGTTACATTTTTGCAGCCAAAGATCTGATCCGACATCTCCTAAAAACTGAGCCTACGCAACGCATGACCATCAACGAGTTCATGAACCAACCGTGGATCATTGTAAGTCAAACTAACGGTTTCTTTGCCTTATTGTGGGATGTGGAGGTCCCCAAATTGGCGTTCACCTCCAAAATATTACTCTAAAAAAAAATTATTTGTGTATTTTGATTTCTCAGTGAAAGATTTCATACCTGGAGAAACTGATACCTGATCATATATATATATATATATATATATCTTTTTTTCTTTTTCTTTCCTTTAGCAATCAACGCAGGTCCCACAGACACCCCTTCATACCAGCAGAGTGCTGAAAGAAGAAAAAGATCTGTGGGAGGATGTAAAGGTATAACGAATATTTGCATTTACCTCCATAATTAAGTATTAGTATCAGTGGGGACCTTACATTTAACATGACTTTAATATGCAAAGTGTGAGTTATGTTAAACTTGCGTACAGTATAAATTATTGAACGGGACTAGGACGGATGTACCATCTAGGGGATTATACGATTTAGACAGATCAGACTTGGGTGAGTTTTACTGTATTATTTTAGTTTTAGTTAATAATTGATCATCAATAGTTTGGTTCCTGATTGCTCACCCCAATCATCCATCTTTCCCGACAGGAGGAAATGACCAGTGCCTTGGCAACCATGAGGGTGGACTACGAACAAATCAAAATCAAAAAGATCGAGGAGTCTTGCAACCCTCTGCTTATGAAGAGGAGAAAAAAGGCAACAACCTCGAATGCACCCAGCCACTGAAATAAGAAACACAGAGTAAAGCGTGCAAAAGTCCTACCTTTTTTTTAAAAAAAAGAAAGAAGTCTTTTTAAATGTCGCATGAATTTCAGAAATTTTAATCAATTGGCTTTTTTTTTGGATTTTTTTTATTACTATTATTTTATTTCATTTTGAGCTGTTGTCCGGCAGCAAGCACCACACCCTGTGATCATTATCTTGCGCGCTAGCCCGTTTTATAAACCGATGCTTAACAAGAAAAGGACAGAATAAATAATGGGGAGAGGTCGGCTGGTGATTTTCCTTTTTGTATAACAAAAAAAATCAAGTTTCAAATTGCATCTCGGTTAAAGATTCCTTTCTAGACTTTTGGTTCCTGTGTAAACCTGGGTTCAGAGATGTCTCGTGTGTATCTTTTAGTAACTTCAGCTTTTTGCCCAGAACCTTTAGGTTATTTTCTGAACCCGTTTTCATTAATTACCTGGGATTTTAATTGTTTTAGAGTTTTAAAGAATTCTTTGTTAAAGTTGCTTTTTTTTATATATATATATATATACATACAAAAGAGCAACAAAAAACCGTATTATTCAAGGATTTTTTCCAATGTACATTTTTTTGTGATTGTTTTAAGCAAATCGCAGAAGAATTATTTTGATTTTTTTTCATCTGTGAAAATGAAGAGGGTTACAGTATAGACTATATTAACTTTAATGATGAAAATGTCCTATAGTGTGTTTCTGGGTGTATGGGAATCTCAGCTCTTGCCTAGACTGGGATGATCCCAATTCCTTTATGAACTGTGTATAATGTCACCGTTATGGCAGGAGGGTTAAAACACAGTCCTTAATGTCACAATTATCTCTGCGATTCATTGGGATTTTTTTTACACAAATTGAACTGTTCTTGTGATTTACGTAGCAGCTGCACTTTCTCTTTCTCTCTCTCTCTCTCTCTCTCTCTTTCCTTCTGATGACCATCCAATTCCCTCATTCATGTGTGTGTGTGTGTGTATATATATATATATATACATAGGTCATATTCAGGCATTATCCTTTATCCACACAGTAAAACCCTCACTAGAAATGACGTAAAGAATGAGGACACTATCGTTGTTTTGGTTGAAGAACCTTGAGTTTGTAGAATACGTACTAGCTGAGCGTTAACATGGGAAAAAGATTTCAGGCTGTCACTCACTTAATCTTCAGTGCCCCTTTCTCTCTCACACACACCCCAACACTCACACTCTTATAAATGACGCACAGTCATTTCTGGACCTCTCTGATCTAAATGATTATTTTTGCTTCTCTTCATGTCTGGAAGGAGAAGTTGCCATATTCGGGTAACCTGTTTCAGAGACAGCACAAACTCTGAAGGACATAAAGGTGCAAAAGAAGGAAAACTATTTTTTTGTAAATTACACAGTTCATACGATCTGCTTCAGTCTTTTCAGTGTTTTTTTATATATATATAACTTAATATATATATACATACATGAATCATTTACTGGTTTTAGTCGAATAATAAGTAATAAAAGTTCATCAGTTTGGAGTCCAATGCAGGCAATTTGCCAGCAAATTGTTCAGCTGCAGAATGTATTTTAGACGTCGAGAGAACAGCTGGGTGACCCTTCGTGCTATTTTAAGAGAAATATATTTTTAATTTGCATGAAGAGTCGAAACGAGAGAGTTTTGTCAGTCCTCAGACCCATTGTATAGTTACCTTTACCTTAGTTTCTTTCTGCGCCGTTGAAAGGAGGTTAGAAAATCCTCCACTGGAGCGGGCTAGAGGGAGAGCAGTTGTAGTCCATAAATTGATCATTTTATTTTTATCCACTTTTGACCCTGTGTTGGTCTCGGTGGAGCTTGTTTAGATGAACTACTTTGACCTCTCATGTAAAGACTGCTGGACTAGTAGTAGTAAAGACTACAACCAATACCACTAAATGGGCCTTAGGGGGAAGAAGCTATTAAGTTAGGTTTTTTATTTCTCGTACTTGTAAGCTTGGAAAGTGTGGTATACATTTCCTGCCAGAGTCAGTGACCTCTGGTTCAGCCATCAGAGCTGTGAATTTCAAAGCGATGCAGTGCCAATCTCAGTCTCCCTCCCCCGCTGTTCGCTGTGCCGAATCTTTTCTCCCTTAAACCCAGGGGAAAATGGTAAACGGGCACTAAAGAAAAGGCACGTTTTATTGACTCCATTACCTTTTTCACAAGCACAAGACGCTGCATTCCTGAGGCTCTCTTTTACATTCGCACTTTGTTATCGAGTCCCTCAAGGCAGCTAGCTATATTTTGGCAGTATTTTGACTGCGCACACACACACACACACACACGCAGACCAGGACCATTTGGCTCAAAGGATATTAAAAGTTACTGTAAGCCAGTGGATGTAATTGGGATTCAAGCGTAATTTTTAACGTATATTTTTAGCGAGAAAAAATGGGAATTAGCAGTACGGTATAAAAGCGTTTTTTTTTTTGCCTTTTGTTCACTTACAGTGTTTTCTGGCACTCTTGAGTCTTGAGTGATATCGCCCACGCCCCCATGATAGGGATTTTATTTAGGATTGTGGGTGCAGGAGGTGAAAGACACATTCCTCATTATTCACTAGAACTGATCTCGAACGCTGTGAGGAAGTATGTCCTTTCATGTCATGGGTTTTGGATGAAGACTTTAATGTCCTTTTATTTTCTCTCTCAGCAATTTGCCCAAATCCCAACACCTTTGTGTCATAATATTTGGAACTTATATAAAAAAATAAGCCCAGAAGATAGCTCTACTCTTTAACCTGTCGCTTACAAATGCTCACCTCCCTGCTTCTCTTGCTCCATCTCTTGTACTCTCTCTCCTGCTGATCACAAAACATAGGCATCTTTTTGCTACATCTTTATGGTGCGATATTCCATTACAAAGAAGTAAGGCAAAGAGGTCTCTTTTTATGTTAAATAATGTACGATAGACCCTTAAAAACTGTGTTCATACAAGTCCTGTAAGCTGCCTTCAGTAATCCTATTGTCTAGTATCACTTATCAGCTGCTGATAGAAATGCAAATTACTGAACTGATCGGTGACTGACTGTGAAGCAATATCAATGGCAATGTCTAATGTGATCACTCTCTGGGCCAGCTTACTTACCGTCCGTTCCCTCTTTGAATCGCACATGGAAAGTGCTGGTCCCTGAAATGGTCTTGTTTTATGAATGGGGCTTGTGCGTAAAAGCATGGAGGGGTCGGGGGGTAGGGGGGGGTCGTGGCTGGAAATGCCATGAATGGAGTAGTGCAGAGTATGGGGGTTAGCAAGAGGATGTTCTGTTTATTTATTCATTCCATCCGGACACTGCTCAAAGCTTAGAAGCTGGATAGTTGTATTTTACCCCAACACCCCCCACCCCCCCCCTCTCCCCACCTCGGATCATCCACAGCGAAGGATGTGCAGAATTGAGATTCTTACCCACGTCAGTATATTGAATACACTTGAGTCGGGTTAGATTCAGGTATTGGTGAGAGAACAAACAAAATGGGATTTGGGCCAGTGTTTTTTTTTATATACTGTATTATCAAAACCGAAAGAAATTATAGAACTCTTTTCACTGAAGATCGACCCCCGAGCTTTGAAATTCCACCTGGTCTTAGCCTATTCAGACCGTTTTGTCTTTCGACATTTTGAAATTGGTCAGAACTGTGGATAATTTCTCTTAAATTCAGCCCTAATTTCTTAAGGCAGCCCATTTCCGAATCAAGGCTGTGAATTTTTACAAAGTGCTGCGTCATCTTAAGGCTTGAAACATTAAGGGCCTAATAATAATAATCCTTGCATTTGATATAGCGACTTATGACGTCTTCACGACATCTCAAAGAGCTTCACAGAACATAATGTCCCACAAACAGTCGTGGATTGCGTTGACCAAATGTTTTTTATATATTTTTTTTGTTTCTTTTTTGAATGGATCATTATCCCCGGAAAAGCGATCCACCAATCAAATAACAACCGGGTTCCTACTTACTACTAGGTAAACAGAGGCGTGTGGAGTAAGGAAACTTGCCCAACATTTCGCCCCGCACGGGAATTGAACCCAGGTCCTCTCGCTTGCAAGGCGAGCGCGCTAACCACTAAGACTAGGTGAAATTTCGAGTCTGTAGGGCTGATTTGAACAGGATGCTCCCAATCTGTTGCTAGAGCATGTATTTGTACATTCAGTATCTGGCTGTATATTGATCTCTGCTGAATTTCATATAACCATTACTGCAGTCGTTGGTCTCAATGTCTGTCTGGATTTATTCTTTATATTTTAAAAAGAAATCAGGTATTTTTCACTATTGCACATGGTGTTTTTATTCTCTCTCTCTCTGGGGCAGAATTGGCATGTTGTGTGGCGTTCAGTGACTGTACCCCCCTGTATTCAAAATACCACCTTCAGCTATTAAAAAAAATTATATTTATTCAAACCTTTTGACACTTTTCTTTCAGATGTTGCTGCTATATTTGTGTTCTGTTTTAAGTTCCGCGTTCAGAAGCTTAACTCGCATAGTCTAGGCTTACGCTTCAGTGAAGCAATGGGGTGGGGGAAGCTTTGCCAGAGTTGCCGTCCTTTGGAAGAGACATTTAAACCGAGGTCCTGTTTGCCTGTTCCGGGGGGATGTTAAAGATCCCGTAGTCTACTGTTCGAAAAGTAAAGTTTTGTCTGAAAACTAAGGTCATTGTACAATAAACATCTCATTTTGAAATTAAGATGTCGGCCAAGCAAAATGCTTGAATAATAATAATCCTTGTATTTGATACAGTGCCTTATCACATTTTCGAAACATCTCAAAGTGCTTCACAGAATACAGTGTGAAGTGATTTGACTATAGTCAAATAGACAATAGTCTGTGGGCGAAACGTGGCATTTGACAATTGCGCACAGTCAAAATAACCCAATAATACTGTGTAACTTGATGTTTGTGGTTAATTTTGCTCTTGGCCTCTTAATGTTTGACTGGTATAAGCCGATAAGTAGACCCTCCCTTTCCCTCCCAGCCCAACCTAACCCTCCCCCACCCACCCACCCACCTGCCAACGAAAGTGGCCGTTTATTCTTGTCCGTCAACCTTGTCACCTGTCTTGTTCGGAAACGGGTGAGCGATTTTGGACAGTCTGAGAGTTTTTGTAGCTAAGGTTCTGGTGCGTCTCGGAGCGAAGTGAATCATTGTTGAGATTCGAGAGGCACGTGCTTAAGGATCACAGGTGAAAATGTCAAAAACAAAGGCAGGATGTGTGAGAGTCATTGTTGGTTTGAGAGGTTATAGTGTCTGAGAGAGAAACTTCGATTTTTGTCTGTGAAATCAGAAGCGTCGGCCAAGTGAGAGACTGAGGTTGAGTCGCAGTGTACGGTTCAAAAAAGGAGAGAAGATCAAATGGAGATCTGCCGCGTAAATAGAAACTTTTTTTTCCCCTTGTATACACAGTGCGAGACCGCTACTTAGATCTTGAAGATGTTAAGCCGAGGTCCCGTCTGCCTGTTCAGCTGAACGTTAGAGATCAGCAGATCAGAAAGAGAAGCTAAGATTCTCCA